ACATCACACACAGCACTATCACACTCAGCACTCACACACAACACTCTCACACACATCATACACAGCACCCACACACAGCACCCTCACACAAATCAATCACATACAGCACCCTCACACAAACAGCATCCATCACACACACATACTACACCCCTCACATACACACACAACCCCCCGATACACTGCATCACACACATACACAATACTTCCAAACATATTTATATAAAAAATATATATATATATATATATATATATATATATACACACACACACAGCACCCCTCACACACACACTGCACCCCTAAACACATTACATTCCAGACACACACTAGATCATTTACCCAACTCTGGATCATCTACACACATACACACACTAGATCCCTATATACACTCTGAATCCGTTATATACGCACGCTCACTAGATCTCCTATACATAGTCTGGGTCCTTCAAACACACACAAGACTCATATATATATATGTATATATATATATACACACACACTCTGGATCCCCTATACGCACACTAGATTCCTTGTAAGCAAACACATACTACATTCCCTGAATACACACTCTCTACAAACACTACATCACCTATACACACACACACACTATAGCCTATATGCACACACTTGCTACATCCCCTATACACACATTCTCTACAGCCCCTAGCCATATATGCATTGCATTACACCACAAGCACAACACGACTAAAACCGAACCTATTACACAATACCACACCACGACCAGCTCACTCTGCACACACGCAATACCACAAGCAGGCTCCAAACACATGCACAATACTCTTTCCTGGCATTTTTTGTCTCCTGGTATCCATTTATAGAGACACCAGAGACAAGTTGCAAGGAAACACAGTGCAAGCATGTTATTAAATTTGCTTGCACTGTGCAGAACAAATACAGGGCTTTTTTTCTCATGCTAGAGTTCTTCAGCAGAGCTCTGCGTGTGGTCTGCCCTGGAAGAGCATTGAACCAACTTGCTCACTTTGAGAGGCGGCGTGGTTTGTCATGAGTGATGACAAAACACACCCTTTCTGCCCCGCCCCCTTCTTAGTGGGCCGCTGTGATAAAAAAATGCCCGGGCCGAATTTTTTTCCCAGTCCGGCCCTGTGGCTAGATATGATTCAGAGTTCTCAAACAAATTTCGTTTGGAAATTCCAGTCTAATCCATGCCACTGGCTGCTCACTCTTTAGTAGACATGCCCCTACTTGCCGCCTAGTAAGCAGCGGCAGAAGGGAGAACTTAACATCTCTTATTTACTAATACTAAGTAATTTTTGCTTAGTATTAGTAAAGTTGGCGGAAAGACCAATTTTGGTCTTTCGATTTTTTAATAGATAGCTCCCTAATCCTTGGGGAATTAGACGGCTAGCTACTTGATGGCTGCAAGATTCAGTCATGGCAAGGATTAGATCGGAATTTCATTCTTTAAATGAAATTCTGAACCGAATGTAAAGAACAAATTTTGACACTGGTAGATTATTTAAAGAAACAATCCAGGCACAATACCTACTACATTATGTTGTAGTGGTTATGGTGCCCGTGGTGCCATAGTGCCCTCCTGGGGTAAGTAGTCAAACTGTTTAAGAGCAGTTTGACAACGTGTCTGGGGTCTGTCGGGATAGAGGCTGTAGTGTGTGTGTTTGAGTGTGTGGGGTGCAATATGTGTGTGTGTGTGAGGGTAAGGGTTGCAATGTTTATGCATGTGTGTGAGGGGTGCAGTGTGTGTACAGGGGTGCATTGTGTTTGTGAAGGATGTAGTGTGTGTGTGAGGGGTGCAGTGTGTGTGTATTTGGGGCAGTTTGTGCATGAGGGGTGCAGTGTGTGTGTGATGAGTACAGTGTGTGTGGGGGGACAGGTTGTGTGAGGGGTACAGTGTGTGTGGGGGTGCAGTGTGTGGGGGGTGCTGTGTGTGGGTGGGCAGTGTGTGTGTGAGGGGTACAGTGTGTGTGAATGGGGCAATATGTGTGTATGGGTGGGTAGTGTGTGTGTGTATGGGGGTAATTGTGTGTATAGGGGCAATGTGTGAGTTGTTTAGGGGAAAAGATCCATTAACTTTTGGCAATAAAGGCAACTGATAGTGTAGATTTAGTCTCTGTTACTGAGACATGGTATAATGAGAAAAATTACTGGGACATAGCAATACCAGGGTACTCTTTATATAGAAAAGATAGGGAAGGCAAGAAAGGGGGAGGGGTGGCCCTGTATGTGAAGGATAGCATGAAATCTAGCCTAATAAAAGTTAGTGAGGCAAACATAGAGTCCGTTTGGGTTACGTTAGAATTTGGTAATCACACAGTAACTCGTGTAGGTGTGATTTATAGGCCCCCAGGACAAATTGAAGAGTTAGATAATCTACTAGTTGAGGAAATAGCTAAAATGACAATGAAGGAGGAAGTTATCATCATGGGTGACTTTAATCTTCCTGATGTAAATTGGAAAACAAAATTAGCTACTTGTGCCAGGAGCACACATATTCTAAACTCCCTACTGGGATTGTCTCTAAAACAAGTTGTTGAGGAGCCAACTCGTAAAGAGGCCATACTAGATTTAGTGTTAACAAATGGATATTTGGTATCAGATATTACTGTAGGTGAAAGTTTGGGATCCAGTCATCATCAGTCAGTGTGGTTTAATATAACAGTGACTGAGTCACACCACACAAAAACAAAAGTTTTAGACTTTAGAAAAACAGATTTTTCTAAAATTAGAATATGTGTAGAGGAGTCATTATCAGACTGGAGCAATTTAAATGGAGTCCAAGAAAAATGGGATTATTTAAAAGTTGCACTATTGAAGGCAACAGAAAATTGCATTAGGCTTGTCAGTAAAAGCAAAAATTCAAGAAACCACTGTGGTACTCCGCAGATGTGGCCAAAATAGTTAAAAACAAAAAGTTAGCATTTAGGAATTATAAAAAAACCCAGAGTGAGGAAGACAAAATGATCTATAAGATTAGGCAGAAAGAGGCTAAGCAAGTTATAAGAGCTTCCAAATCACACACAGAAGAGAAAATAGCACAGTCAGTAAAAAAGGGGGATAAAACATTTTTAGATACATAAATGAGAAAAGAAAAGTAAAACAAGGATTAGTTAGATTAAAAACAAAAGAAGGAAGGTATGTAGAAGAGGATAAAGGTCTAGCTGACTGCCTCAATGAATATTTTTGTTCTGTATTTACAGATGAAAATGAAGGAAAGGGACCTCAGTTGAGAAAAAGGATAAATGAGTCATTTATTACATGTGAGTTTACAGAGGAAGAGGTTCTATTTCAACTGTCAAAAGTAAAGACAAATAAGTCAATGGGACCTGATGGAATACACCCAAAGCTGTTAAAAGAGCTTAGTGGTGTACTAGCAAAACCATTAACAGATTTATTTAACCAATCATTGTTAACAAGAGTAGTCCCAGAAGATTGGAAGTTAGCGAATGTTGTGCCCATTTACAAGAAAGGTAATAGGGAGGAGTCGGGCAACTATAGGCCAGTAAGCCTTACTTCAGTAGTGGGGAAAGTGATGGAAACCATGTTAAAGGATAGGATTGTTGAACATCTAAAAACACATGGATTTCAAGATCAGAGACAACATGGGTTTACTTCAGGGAGATCATGCCAAACTAATCTTATTGATTTTTTTGATTGGGTAACTAAAATTATAGATCAGGGTGGTGCAGTAGACATTGCTTACCTAGATTTCAGTAAGGCTTTTGACACTGTTGCACATAGAAGGCTTATCAATAAACTGCAATCTTTAAGTTTGGATTCCAATATTGTTGAATGGGTAAGGCAGTGGCTGAGTGACAGGCAACAGAGGGCTGTAGTTAATGGAATATATTCGAAGCTTGGACTTGTCACCAGTGGGGTACCTCAGGGATCTGTACTTGGACCCATTCTCTTTAATATTTTTATTAGTGATATTGCAGAAGGTCTTGATGGTAAGGTATGTCTTTTTGCTGATGATACTAAGATATGTAACAGGGTTGATGTTCCAGGAGGGATAAGCCAAATGGCAAATGATTTAGGTAAACTAGAAAAATGGTCAGAATTGTGGCAACTGACATTTAATGTGGATAAGTGCAAGATAATGCATCTTGGACGTAAAAACCCAAGGGCAGAGTACAGAATATTTGATAGAGTCCTAACCTCAACATTTGAGGAAAGGGATGATTATTTCTGATGACTTAAAGGTAGGCAGACAATGTAATAGAGCAGCAGGAAATGCTAGCAGAATGCTTGGTTGTATAGGGACAGGTATTAGCAGTAGAAAGAGGGAAGTGCTCATGCCATTGTACAGAACACTGGTGAGACCTCACTTGGAGTATTGTACACAGTACTGGAGACCGTATCTTCAGAAGGATATTGATACCTTAGAGAGGGTTCAGAGAAGGGCTACTAAACTGGTTCATGGATTGCGGGATAAAACTTACCAGGAAAGGTTAAAGGATCTTAACCTTTCTTGGAGGAAAGACGAAACAGGGGGGATATGATAGAAACATTTAAATATATAAAGGGAATCAACACAGTAAAGGAGGAGACTATATTTAAAAGATAATTCTAGTATCATAATGAGAAACATGCACATATATAGACTGAGAAATTCCCAGATTTTACTATTAAAATGACGTAAAGTCATGATTTTATTAAAGACACAGAGGCGAGTATTATGCATATCTCTTTCTGTATTACTCTCAGCAGCAAAGATAGAGGAATATAAATATTATCAAAATGAAAGAAAAAACTGTATAGGCACACAGGCAACCAATCACATAACAGAGGAAGTGACTATAAAAGGCCTGTGTCTCCCACAATAATAAAATCATGACCTTACGTCATGTTAATAGTAAAATCTGGGAACATACCTTGACGGGACATACTTGTGTATAAGGGAGGATAGATAGGTGGGAGCAGCATTATGTAGAGATTTGAAGTTAGAAACAGCAGAGAGGCAGTCAGAGACACTAGTCAAGAGGGACGGGGAGAGATCAGGAGAGGACAGGTAGATTTGCGTGTCATCTGCATAGAAATGATATTAAAAGCCAAAGGAGCTAATGAGTTTACCAAGGGAGGTAGTATAGATGGAGAACAGTAGGGGACCAAGAACAGAACCTTGGGGGACACCAACAGAGAGGAGTTGGGGAGAAGAAGCAGAGCCAGAGAAAGAAACACTGAAAGAGCGCTGGGAGAGGTAGGAGGAGCACCAGGAGAGAGCAATATCTTGTAGACCGATATTGCGGAGCATGAGAAGAAGCTGTTGATGATCAACAGTGTCAAAAGCCGCAGACAGGTCAAGGAGAATTAGGATAGAGTAGTGACCACGAGATTTTGCAACGAGTAGATCATTGGATACTTTGGTCAGTGCCATTTCCACATAATGCTTAGCGCGGAAACCAGACTGAAGCGGGTCTAGCAGAGAGTTGGACTCAAGGAAGTCTGTCAATCTCGCATAGGACGACAGTTGGATGGGGAGTTAGGGTCAAGATTGGGCTTCTTTAGAATTGGGGTTACAGTTGCATGTTTGAAGGGCGATGGAAATATACCAGAGGAGAGAGAGAGATTGAGAATTTTAGTGAGGGGTGGAGAAAGAGAAGAAGACAGAGTACGGATGAGATGCGAGGGAATTGGATCTAGGGAGCAGGTGGTGGAGCGGGAGGACTGGAGCAGAGCAGAAACCTCTTCCAATGTAGCGGGTGCGAATGAACATAGAACAGCAGAGGGAGTGAAGTTAGGGGAAGTATTGTAAGGGGAAGAAGAAAGATGAGAGATCTCTTCTCTGATTGTAGAGATCTTGTCAGTGAAGTGAGTTGCAAAGTCTGAGGCGGTCAAGTTAGTAGGTGGAGGAGGAACAGCAGGGCGAAGAAGAGAGTTAAATGTGTGAAATAGTCGTTTGGGTTCGCGGGATAGTGTGGTTATGAGGGTATTAAAGTAATTAACTTTTCCAGAGGAAAGAGCCAAGCTGTATGAGCTCAGCATAAATTTATAGTGGAGAAAGTCAGATACACAGTGAGACTTTCTCCAACAGCGTTCAGCAGTTCTGGAGCATTTTTGGAGGTATTGAGTGAGCTTGGTGTGCCAGGGTTGTTGTTGGGGGGGCCTGCGGCCTTTAAATGTACAAGGTGCCATGATGTCTAGTTGAGAGGAGAGGGTGGAATTGTAGAAGGAGTTTGCAGAACTAGGACAGGTGAGGTTTGAGATAGATAAAAGGAGAGTTTGGAGATTAGTGGAGAAATGCTCTAGGTCAAGACATTGGAGGTTTCTGTGAGAGTGATGTTCAGACGGTTGTGTCAATTGGGTCTTAGGTATGCCAATGTCAAAAGTCAGCAGATGGTGGTCAGATAGAGGAAAAGATATGCATAATAGGAGCCTCTGTGTCTTTAATAAAATCAGCAATTAGTTTTTCTTCTACCTAACTTTTAACGAAGCAAGACAAACAAAAATTGACACACACACAGTGGGGAAACATATCAGCATATGAAACTACATTGGAGATCAAATGGAAATTTAATAAAATGCTATTCCTACAACAATATGGAATAACCAGAAGAATCAGATAATTAAGTAAAATGCACTGACCCCACATCTGCAAATAAGCATAAGGACTTTGTATCTGCAAGAGCGAAGCAAATATTCAATGCAAATTATAGAAATGTAACTCTCAGAATAGAGTGGTTTACACATAATATAAATAAAGTAGCATTTCTTTCTTTGTCCCCTCACCTGTAAAGGATTATGGGGTTATTATGGAGGATAAATTCTGTCCAGGGTTAATAGTCATGTTAATGTATCAGTCTTTTGATGTACTTCTACCTTACATTATTGCTAATTGTTACACTGTACACAGTAGGTATACATTTTCTAATGAACAATGACAAGATTTGCATATTCACCAATGTTTTTGTATATTCACATTAGCACACAGTGTCTCCAAATGAAGGAAAATTGAGGTTTCACATGCTGTGCTTGTCATAGAGAAAGGATTAAAAAAAAAAAAAGAAAAATTACTGATCATATTAAAGGAATTTTGTAGTAGATCACCTTTCAATAATTCCTATTTAAATATACCAGTGTATAACACAGAAGCAGACATAGTCCTGTAAGTGGAGCAGTTACCATGGAAATTGATTAAATATACCTAGAGATTCCATTGGGTTCCATGGTTACCACTATCCTTTCATACACAAGTATCATTCATCCTTTCAATTAAGTGTTTTTGTAATTTACCTGAGAATTCACACCTTGCTCTATTCAGGTAATCACTATTTGGGTCTAATCACTAAACAGTGTGTTGTTTTTGTTTTTTTTGTTGTTTTTTTTTTTTGCCTGCTAACCGACTTACATATATTAATACACAAATAGCCAGTTTGAAAAAAGTAACCTGCTCTGTCCTAAACATGAATATAAATCAATTTTCCTAAATCCTTATTGATCACAGTGATTACAATGAAATATAAAAATGATTGATCAGAGAAAAGGCAGTGTTTACAGTGGTGTCTAGGGATACCTCCAGTGACCATAAGAGGTGCTACCTATCTGCAGGACTGACTTTCATTGTCTCCACACTCTGCATGGAGGTGCTGAAGTGCTCCATAGATATGCATTGAATTAATGCATCTCCATGAGAAGATGCTGATTGGCACAGCACAGTGTGTTGCCGTGCATGCGCAATAGCCTCCCAATGCTTTTATTTGGGTGCGCCACGGAGGTGGAGCAAGGCACAGCTGGCCACTGTGGGACTGTTGCGGTGTGGGACAAAAGGTGAGTAAAACCACCTTTAATCTGAGGAGTGAGGGGGCTGGTTATCTAAACAGCCATACCTGGACTATAGAGTCAGCAATACATGTTTGTATTATTGACACAACAGTGATCATTAAAGCATGCTTTAGGTGCTATCTGCAGTAGTAAAGGTATGATAAAACCAAGAATTATTATATAGACCTGCATTGATATTTTCTACAGGTTGCACAATGATGTAAATTAATTTATATCTATTAAACAAAATATTGATATTTT